ATCCAATGTTATTCTATACTTACACTACTTGAACCAGTGGCGTATACGGCAATTGTATAGATGGCCTCCCAGCCTTTTTTGTAAATAAACAGTTCACCATCAAGGCGTTCCACAACACAAAGCATCGATGGGCTGGTCGTATAATGAGGAGGACAGACGACAGATGACATTAAGAACTCTGGAATGGATCCCTCGCGAAGCAAAACATCCTCGAGGGAGATGGGCTGAGGTGTTCGTGGCACGGATGGACCAGCTGAATTCCCAACTAGTAATGAGTAATGGACCTGGACCTCGCGGACGTCACTCATAGATGTCTCTCGCTAGCGTCTAGATAACATCATAGACGCTAGCGAGAGACAGAAACGGATGGAAACAATGCTGTGGCCTGCAGGACGAGTGAAGACAGGTCATCTAAGTATCTAAGTATTAAAAATTGACCGCTTAAATGCAAACCCCAGCAGCGGTTAGTCGCGATTTTTACAAAAAATGCTAGGATCGCGTTGAACATTTGGTCCCAGCAGGTGGAGGAATCGCGCGTTGAGGGAAAGGAAAGCAGCTTTAAATATTTCCAATGTTGTCCTTTTTTCCTTTGTAAGGGTGCGTAGGCTCATTCGCCTTGTCTTCTTATAATTTGTATTTGTGGAGATAAATGCATTACATAGCTTTTAAGGACTTCGTTTTTTTTTGTGTGAAGACATTGGTTTGAAGAAGATAATATCATTACGTTAACCTATAGCTTCCATGAATTATAGCTGTACATGGTTGCCTCAAAGATACACAGATTTTGACTATCTACTCTAAATATCATGTGAAATTCGTTTTTTTTTTCCCGAAAAATTATAAACCAGCACATAACATGTAAAATCTTTTTTGCACTTAATTTTCTCGAAAATAGCAAGTGGAAAGTTTTTCTTCCAACTACAAAGACGTTCGAAACCACTGAATGTCGTTGTATGTTGTGGACTTTAATCATATGTTCTTTACGACCTTTTTTAGGAAAACCAGAGGGAGCAAAGAAAGAGCAAATTGGAGTGATTCGAGGAGGTGCGAGTACGCAAAATTACGTAAGTGTTCTATTTGGCGAATCGATTACCGCCTTGGTCTACGGCAGTGTCGAATAGGGAATTAAATTACTTGGTGTGCTCAGATCAAGTCGGAAAATTTGGGCACCGCTGTATTTGGACATGATGACCACGAATATGGCAGTCTTTCTATGGATAAAGCGAAATTCACCAGCAAGCAGAATACATGATGAGGGAGTACAAACAAGAAGAAAACCTGCAAATTAAGCGAGACTTATCTTAAACAGTTAAGGGGCATGAGTAAAGCATGTCCTTGTCTCTGACCTTGGCCACCTCTTAAAATCTACGTATATGTACCCAATATAATACGTGTC